TTGCACAAACAAAGAAGCAGCTTCTGCTTCCTTTACTTGCACAAACAAAGAAGCAGCTTCTGCTTCCTTTACTGCTAGGTCTGCTAGGTGGATGACAATGTATTATGACATAATGATCCCAAGTAAAAAAAGAAGGGCTTTAGCCGAGGCTCACTCGCAACTGCATTCGGTACTTGGTCTTGGCAGGAAAGCAGGGTGGCTTGTACCGGGGCTTCGTGCCACCAGTTGGGCGCATGGTGCCTGCGCGAAGGAAACGTGAGAACCCTGGTGGTGCGAGGCATCTGTCGCGCCTAAAACTCCTTTGAAGTCCTTGCGACTCGAAAACTCTGCATCCCACACCACCTCCTCAACACACATGCCACATCGACGAAAATCCGGGATCGGCCGCACTGCAGAAGCCGTCCTCGGGCCCCTTTCCAAGCTTGCCGAGGTTCGTGAGTGTGATGCTGACGTTCCTTACGAAAAGACTGAGGCGTTGCTAATCCTGCCAAGGTCTGCCTAGCCAGTCGTGGGCTTCTACCTCAGCCCTCGGGCCAAGAGTCCGAACAGGAAAGGAGAAGTAGAGAGCTGGATGATCAGTTTCCTCCAGCTCCCTCGTAGTCTCACCCTCCTTGCCACAGAAGAACCTGAAGCAAAAGCGGCTTCTCAACGGACGGCCCCCTGACGGCGGCGCAGTGATTGAAGCGGGCTGCTTTGGATATGGAGATTGTCTGAAGGCCAGGTTGAAGCTCTCGACGCTGTTCTGCAAGGCGGGAAAAAGCTGTGACAACAGAAAACAAAAACGCAAAAGAGAAGGGCCCCCAGGGCCCCCACCTTCAAAACATCGTTCAGGCCAATGGACTGACCCACCTGGTGAATCCTGGGCTCGGAAAGCGACTGGCTCTCCCTCAGACGTTGTCGGGCCCCAGACAGCGGCAGCAACGTGCCCGAACCGCCGGACGAGCCTGTCAGGTGGAGCAATTTAACACAGACCAAGACCCGAAGAAACAAAGGGTGAGCATCAACGTGCTCGAGTGTCACATCTTGGGTGTTGCTTTCTTTTCTGACACAGCTGTCACATCTCTCTCCTTCTTTCTGTCTGAATTTTTGTCTGTCTTGGTGTGTCTTTGTCTGTCTGTGTCTGCCTGTGTCTGCCTGTGTCTGTGTCTGTCTCTACCTAACCCGGACTCTTGCACCCTTGCCGCATGCAGGTGCTCAGCAAGCTATACAGTTCAGTCTATCTCTAGGCCTACTTCCACTTTGTCTTCAGCATCCCCGTCGCCGATGTTCTTGCCCTTTCCTGTGAGTCAAGGGAAGGCTGCAGCAAGGCCACCCTGAGCGACCTGGCTGGTTGCAGTCCTCCTGCACCACTGACACCTTCGTCACGTTCCCTCAGAGTTTTGTTTGCATCTGCACTGCCCACCTGGGTTCTTCCAGATGAGCACTGGCACCTCTCAATCTAGCTTAGAATGCAGGCCCGCTGCCGCAGAAGATGCCAAGGAGTCGCGCTCACGACTGCCAGCCAAGGAACAGGCAGAAGGGCAGTCTTTGCAAGGGCTGCAAGTTTTGCTTTTGCGCCTTGAAAGCATCTGATTTTTCATGTCTTCGGCCGTAAGCTTGGCCTCCCAACCTCATGCTTCAATAATTCCAAAGAAAGTCTAGGAAGTCTAGCACAGACAGTCTCGGCATGCTGCTCTGATGATGCGCCATGTCTGCCTGGAAGGTCTGCACTGATCTAGCTCCGGTGCGAACTGCCGCTCAGAATGCGCACGCTCGTGCCTCCTCACCAGCGCTTGCACGGGCACTGGCAGAGGCGAGGTGGTGCGGGCTGTTGGAGCCCAAGTAGGTGAGAAAGGCTCCACGCAGATCCTGACTGCATGTTCGCAGCCACTCTAACACCGTTGTTTGGGGCCTCACCTTTGCCAGGAGGGCGCCAGGATCTGCATGCTGCTTGGACCGCAAAGCGTCCATCTCTCGACTGACCAGGCAACAAAGTATTGCAGACAGAACGAACTATTGGTCCAATGCCAATACCGTACCGCAGACGCCTCGCTTGCAGTTCCTGCTTCACGTCGCTGGCAGACAGCTGCGCCTCCCAGCCTCTTTCAAGGTTTTGCACGGATGAAGAGCAGTGCGCATGCTCTGTGGGATCCCTGCTGCGATGGTTTGCATGGCCGTCCTCTCGAAGGTGAACAGACTTGATTCAAGAGAGGTCGAAGAGCATGACTCTAGCCGGGCCTCCGGAATTGGCGGCAGCGCCTTCAGCATGTCCTCGCAAAACGGCAAGCATTGTGCAGGGGACTGGGAGACACTCAAAGACCCAACCGTCTGTTGCCACAGGTGCCTTTGCTTTGCGCTCCATTTCCAGCCTCTTCTTCGCTTTCTCCTTGAGCTCTTCCTCCTCCTTTCTCTGCTCCTGGGAGTGGTCGGGCGCTGACTTTGTGAACTTCCGACCGAAGGTGCGGTCCTCATCTTTCAAGACCTGCTCCTTGTGCTTCTTCAACGCGTCCTTAAACGCCGCCTCCTGTGACAGAGCATCACATCTCACATCACTGCCTTCGATGCAGAAGCCGAGGCCCATGCTTTTGCCGTCTCCGCGGGCTTCTTTGGCTCCGGGACGGCATCAGCTACCTGAGCACAGCCAGCAGGTGCGGAACTTCGCTGAGGACGCTGTCAGTGGCTTTTAGCCAGGCCTCGTCATCGTCGCCGCCGTCCTCCTCTTCCTCCTGGTCGTCCTTCGGATAAGTTCCCGAGAAAGCGCCCGAGACGTGCCAGGCCTTGGTCGCTTTCCCATTGCTGGCCTGGGCATCTTGTCCCTGAGCATTTCGCGGCTTTGAGCCGTTTGCGCCGGCTTGCGACGAGGATGGTGCAGCTGGCTCGTTGCCGGCTGTGGCCGGCTGGCTCTCTTGCGGCGCTTGCGGCTGCTGCTGCTGCTGCTGCTGCTGCTGCGGCTGCGGCTGCTCCTGCGGCTGCTGCTGCCCGCCGGGACTTTGATGCGTGTTTGCCTGCTGCTGGTGGGCCGTATTCGCATGGAAGCTCAGGACCCGGGAGGAGGAGCATGACCTCCGAATGCAGAAGAAAAGAAGAAACACCTTTGCCAGCAATACCACGTCTCACTGCCTTCTCCAGGAAGCGGGTGCGGCCAAGCCGTAGGGCCAGCTGCTTGTACTGGTGCTGTCCTGGTCCATTGCAGATACACTCCGTTATGGACTAAGGCAGCCACGTAAACCTCCGACACAGCTTCAGTCATTGTAAGCCTTCGCAAACGTTGACCAATGGACGCTGGCTCCGAAGCTCCCGGGAGTTGTCTTGCCCGCGGGAAATAGGGCTAGTCGCTCTGTTCCTGTATAGCTTTAGGACCGCCAAGTCCTTCACGAGGCGACTCACGGATCGTGGTTCACAGGAAAGTGCGACAACATCTCGACTCGTGCTCCAACCACGGCTGGTTGCAAGATCAGATTTTCATTACCGAGGTGAGTGTTCGGAGGCGGCCAAGGAGAAATCATGTCAGGCCCACTAGCAACATTGAAGGCTGAGACGCAACAACGAGCCAACACGGAAAACCCAAACTGGGCAGGCATGGCACGGCGGTCCTGAGACAGCCAAGCGAGTGGCGACTCCACCAGGGTGCATGACTGGCGCATGCTCGCACACGGCACAGGCCATGCATTTTTTGTTCTCAAGTCCCATGCATGTCTGAGGTTGCGGTGGTCTGAAAGGGACTTGTTGCCAGAATGAGAACCTCGCGAACTGGCCCGTCTGCATGCAACATGTCAGAGTACGAATCAAGGAGACTGCCCATACCCTTGAACCAACACGCGTCGACAGCTGGCAGGAACTTGACAAGAAGTGCTTGCGGACGCTACTTGGCATCGTTGAACCTCCATAGTCCAGGATGGCCTCTGCAAGACCTCCATGTTCAAGGCAGCAGAGACCTTCGCGTCATCTTCAAGAAAGGCGGCCTCCTGCCATCTCCACTAGGCCTCAGCTCGTGGGCTGCAGGCTCGCATAAAGGCCATAAAGGCATGCTCCCTGGCGGCATGCACGACTCTGGTATCGACTCGACGAGACCACCCTTTCCACACTGCCGTGAGTTGCTTGTCTCCGCAGTGGGCATTGATCACCTACCTTTCTACGCGAGCTTCTCCGGCTTGCAGACGCAGCAGGAAGATATCTCCTCAATTCACAGAGCAAACTGATCGTGAACCAAAACCCAACCCCTTGCAAACGGGAGGACTGGCTTCGAAAAAGCAGAATTCTGCTGTTGCGTAGGAGCAAGACGGCAGAGGAGTAAGCAGGAGTCGGAGTGGGAACGGTGGTGGTGGAAGGAAGTGAGAAGGGGGAGTTGTGCAAGCAGTCCTGCTTTTATGACCCGCTGCTGTCAGTTGCGATGAATGCAGTCTTGCTGAACATGATTGTAGCTGCCCTTCCGGATGCTATGAGTGCCTGCATGATTACAACGATTCTTGCACCAACACCTCGGCGATCCTCTACGAACGGCAGCAGCAGCAGCAGCAGCAGCAGCAGCAGCAGCAGCCGCAACACAACAGCCATATATGGTCTCGTGTCGCGTGTC